TGTAAAAAACAATACACAGAGCCCTGTACCCGTTACCCAGTTTTCCCTGATGGCAACATTCTGTGAGTCTGGTATAATGTCACAACCAGGATCTCCACACTGATGGAGCCCATCTTAATACCATCTGCCCTTACTCACATTTCCTGTTTTACTTGCATTTTTTGTGTGTGTGCATTTAGTTGTATGCAAATTAATAAGTCTTAGACTTACAGAAAAGTTACAAAAATAACAACGTTCCCATATGTCTCACACACAGTTTCTGTGATTCACATCTTACTTGACTATGGTACATTCGTCACAACTAATGACTGAGCTTGATAACATCATTATTAACTAAACTTCACACTTTATTCAAATCTTACTAGTTTTCTCCTAATTGTTTTTCCCCAGACCCCATGCAGGACCCACATTACATGTAGTCATCATGTCTCAGGCTTCTCCAGAGGGGGGGCAGTTTCTCAGACCTTCCTTATTTCTGATGACTTCAGCACTTTCGAGGAGTATTGCCCAGCTGTATTGTAGAATGTTCCTCGGTTTGGCTTTGTCTGATGTTTTTCTTACGGTTATAGGTTTGGGAGGAAGACCACAGAGGTGAGGTGCCCTCTTGGGTCTGTGAAGGGTGGTGTGGTTGACAGGACTTGCCGATGCTGATGGTAAGCTTGCCGCAGGCTGCCAGGCTGCTGCACTGAGGTACAGTGGCTCTTTGCTCCTTCCCATCCTGTCTGGAGGGAAGTGACTGCAGGGCACATAGAACATTAGTGGCTGTGCTCCCTCCCTGAGGGCAGAGTATGTCTACAGAAATTATTTGGAATGTTTCTATATGGAAGGTTTGTCCTTTCTCATCCATGCATGTATTCAGTCTTTTATATTGGTATGCCCTTGTGGGTATTTTATACTAAAGGTTATAATCTAATACTGTGTTACTTATTTTTTTGCTAAATTGTTCTGCCTTTAACTACTGGGAGCTCTTCCAGTTGGCTTCTGTGTCCCTTTGACATACCTTGTCGTTTGTTCTTTTGTTGTTGAGTACTTTCTTCCTTTCTGGTATTGCGAGGTGTTCAAGGCTTCTCTTGTATATTTTTCTGCTCAGACCTTAGAATCTGCTCCAAGGAGCTCTGGTTCTTTCTATTGAAGATGGAGTTAGAAAATGCTATCTGGGCACTGGCTGGTTAATACTGGAGTTTTTTGGCTTCTTGGCCTTCAGAGACAGCTGGGAAAGAGATATGTGTATACTAACTCATGTATACACATGTCTGTACAGTACGTCTTCACTTAATGCCAATAGGTCCTCAGGAACTGCAACATGAAGTGAAACAGCATTTATTGAAACCAATTTTACCATAGGTGAATTATAAATAAAAGGTGAATTTCTGTGGCATATGGTCACAAAAACATCACCAGACTTCTAAATAAAGACCCCAAAACAGTTCTACTATTAAACGTTGTAATAAATGTGAGCTATATATATATTTAGAAAGGTTAATAATAAGTAAGATAATTATTTTCCAACCATGGGTTCTGACGTGTAGCCAGAGCCTATGTCAGCAGTTTAGGATGCACGGGGAGACAGGAGGCCCTTCTGTTGCAGGGGTACTCACACCCACACCCACAGTCGCTCTTCCTGGGAAAACGGAGACACCCAGTTCACCCACATGTACAGCTTTGGGATGTGGAAGGAAACCAGAATTTCCAGAGGAGGCCCATGTAGACTCCACAGACAGCGTCAGAGTCAGTGGCTTCTAGGAGGTCCCCACTTAACATTCATTCTTAGGAAGCACCAAATACTTCAGGACTTGTGTATGGCTGGAGTGTGGCAGGTCATTGGTGTATATGGACAACAGATTTCTGACATACATCACTGGTGTGCTTGGGTCCACATGTCAGGGGAGCCCCGGTCATGAAATCTGATTCACTGCCTTAAAATGAGTGTTGAGCATAGGCTTTACTTAATGAAAAAGATTGAGTTGTACGATGACTCTGTGGGTAGGTATTTATATGTAAGGCTTTCTTTCCCTGACCTGATAGTATCAGGACATGACCAATTTCTGTGTTTCTAGTCGTCACTACTCTCTCTCATATCGATGCCGCCCCCCCCACTGTCTCTGAAAATCAATGGAAAACATCTTCTGGTGAGGATTAACCAAAAAACCCCCAAAAACATTTTTCGTGTTTAAGAGAAAACAATGATGTTAAGTGTTAAAATTGTGTACTTATCCTGCTAAAGAATCATGATGAGTTTGTATTTTCAAGGTAATGCTAGCCTGGAATTTTTTTGTTTTATATATTTCGGGGAGGGGAATGGTTTTATTTATTAAACTCATAGAGGATTTAAAAAAATCATGGTCCTGCCTTTAAAATAGTGATGGAAATAAAAAAGAACAGGAAAAAGTTTTAACAATAAAGTGATGAAAAGAAAGGGCACCTCTTTTTTAAAATTTTAAAAAAAAATTTGTCTTTATTGATTTCAGAGAGGGGAGGGAGAGAGAAACATCAATGATGAGAGTTGATCAGCTGCCTCCTGCGCGCCCTCTGCTGGGGATCTAAGCTGCCACCCAGGCGTGTGCCCTGAGCGGGAGTCAAACCGTGACCTGGATTCCAGGTCGATGCTCAACTGCTGAGCCACACTGGTTGGGCTAAAGGGCACCTCTTAATTCTTTCCTCTCTCTACTAAAATCTATAGTTTTGTGAACAGTAAATATATTCTAACTAAAAATCTCCAGGATTTTGTTCCTAACATTTTTATAACTAAAGGAATGAAATTTTCCATGGTACTTATAAATGTCATTTGTTATACAACAAATATAACAGTATCTGTAATTTTTAAATTCCCTGTGTTACTGAAAGCAATGATATCGGTCATTGGAAGAGTAAAGAGATAATACAGCCCGGCTGGGCGTGGCTCAGCGGTTGAGCATCGACCTAGGATCCAGGCGATTGGGGTTCAATTCCCGGTCAGGGCACATGCCCTGGTTGCGGGCTCGATCCCCAGTCGGGGGTGTGCAGGAGGCAGCTGATCAGTGACTCTCCCATCACTGATGTTTCTCTCTCTCCCTCTTCCTTTCTCTCTCTGAAATCAATAAAGACATATTTAAAAAATAATAATAATAATACAACTACTATTTCTACCACCATAGCATCTTAGAAGTTCTTCAAGCTTCAGCCTCTGTGGCCCTGCAGTGGCTCTCACCTGGGAGGAGGGTGCTCCGTGCTCTAATGGGTGGAGACCATGGATGCTGCTAAATGGAAGTGCACAGCGACCCCCCCC